GGCTTTTCCTGGACTCACGACTCCTGCTCGAATAGCAGGTGGCGGTCATGGCCAGGAGGGCCTTTGCGCAACTGCGGGTTGTGCACCAGTTACACCCTTTCCTGGGCCAACGGTCCCTACTCACAATCACTCATGCTCTAGTAACTTCCTGTCTTGATTATTGCAACGCATTTTACATGGGGCTGCCCTTGAAGAGCATCCGGAAGCTCCAGTTGGTGCAAAATGTAGTGGCCGGCATGGTTTTTGTGCAGACCCCGGTGTGCACATGTGTCACCTCTCCTACAGGAGCTGCTTTGGTTGCCAATTTGCTTCCGGGTGCAATTCAAGGTGCTGGTTGTCACCTTTAAAGCCCTTCATGGCTTGGGACCAAGTTATCTGAGGGAATGTCTCTTGCCAGTCACATCCACCCGACCTATTAGAGCGAGGAGGCAGGGAATGTTGCGGGTCCCACCCGTGAGGGAGATACACCTGGTGGGACCCAGAAGAAGGGCCTTCACCATGGTGGCTCCCTCTCTCTGGAATATTCCCCCCGAGATTAGAATGGCCCCCACTCTAGCACTCTTCTGGAAGGCACTGAAGACATGGTTTTGGCAGCGGGCCTGGGGAATCCATAGCGGGATGGAGCCCATTAAATGGCTAGTGTGATCTGCTGTTGACGGGGCGGAGGGTGGGAGTTGGGGGGTGATTTTTTTAAAAAAACATTTCCAGATTTTGTTCTGTTGTACTTAATTGATTTGATTTTGTTAGTTTTTATTGCTTTTTATTTTTTGTTTTGTAAATATGGTTTTACATTGTATAAGCTGCCTCAAGTCGCCATGGGCAAATAGGCGGCAACATAAATTAAATTAAAATAAAACAAAATAAATAACAAATAACAACTAAAAAGAGGGTTAAAGACCACGCTGTCTTGTTGGAAAAGGCAGTGGTGATTTTTCGAGAGTGGGGAAACTCGGAAGGGATTGTGAGTTTCTTGTGGATGGAGCACATTGGTCAGCCCTCACAGGCTCTGCTTCAAAAGCTTCACAACAAAGCTTCAGCAGAGGGCAGCACGAAGCCAAGTTTGGTGGAATCTCAGCAGGCTGGCGGCCTCTTTGGCACATATTTTCTATCTCAAACAAGTGACTCTAGGCGAGGAATGGTTGTAAAATAGTTAAAAACAGTTATGATATAATACGAAATGAAATATATACCTGCCAGACCAGAAGAAATGTCATCAAAGATGCCATTATAACTCCTTATGGGTAAACTATGTGCGTTCAGGAAAGCTACACTGAGGCAGCTGCAAAGGATCGGGTTGGAATGATTTGCGAATGGACCTTGTGGAGCTGAGAATCGCTTGCAGGGCATCACTCAGAATAGACACCATTTCAGATGAGCTTGTTGTGGGATACCAGATTCCAACCAGGGTAAGGATTCAAAAGGATCCAGTAAGTGTGGCTGTGCCTCCTACTTTCACAGAAGACTGAATTAAGGTTGAATCGGTGAGCTTTTTGTCTGAGTAGATGTGCCTTTGGCTACAGGAGCAGATTACCTATCCATCCCTCCATTCCTCCATCCATAACAGGGGGTTGTGGTAGAAAACTGCGGGTAGAAAAAGACCTAATGGTCCATCCAGTCTGCCCTTTTGAGTTTTTAATTTGTGTTTTTCAGGAGGCAACTGGACTTTCTTGTTTTTTGTGTGTGTGTTTTTTTGAAGATGTTTCACTTCTCATCCAAGAAGCTTCTTCGCTCTGACAGGATAGTGGGGAATGGAAGGATTTGTGTTCCTTGCAGACAGCTCGTCATGTGCATCCTTTTAGAGCAGGGATGTCAAATTCACATCATGGCTGCATCATGTGACATATCAGGACTCCCCCCCCCCCCTTCGCTAAACCGGGTGTGGGCATGGCCAGAATGTGACGCATCTGGCTCACCGGCTGGGAGTTTGACAGCCCTTGTTTTAGAGGGTCGCTGAAGCACTTGTGTTGAAGCACATCTGTGTTCTCAGGGTCACCTGAGTAGTGCTCCTTGTTCCTCTGGTCTGCAATTTTTCCTCTGGAAATCCATTCCTACATCCCAAATTGTATAGCTAAAAGACTGTAGATTCTCAGTCATGGTTGCCCATTCTCCACTATCCTGTCAAAGCTGAAGAAGCTTGTTGGGTGGGAAGCAAAACGTCTTCAAAGAAAAAGACAGAAAGTCCAGTTGCCTCCAAAAACACCTTTGGGACAACCATGACCTGGATGACTGAGAATTTCTACAGAATTTATTTTATTATTTTTTCTTTTTTCTTTTTTTTTGTCAGATGGCGGACATCTGTTTATCTCAAGCATATCTAAACACCTATCAATTACAGATAGTCCTGGACTTAGGACCACAGTTGAGCCCAACATTTCTGTTAAGTGAGTTTTGACCAGCTTATGACCTTTTTTGCCTCAGTTGTTAAGTGAATCACTGCAGTTGATAGGCTAGTAACCTGGTTGTTAAGTGAATCTGGCTTCCCCATTGACTTAGTTTGTCAGAAGGTCCCACATGGCCTCAGGACACAGCAACAATCATAAGTATGAACCAGTTTCCAAGCACCTGAATTTTAATCAGATGATCATGAAGATGCTGCAGAGGTCATAACTTAGAAAAACGGTCATAAGTCCCTTTTTTCAGTGCTGTTGTAACTTTGAACGGTCATTAAATGAACTGATGTAAGTTGAGGACTACCTGTACTTACAGTTGATTTATCGCCTCCGCTGGAAGTTGATTCCAAGCTTCCGCTACTCTCTCTCTGAAGCAATAACTTCTAGCATTATTTTTGAACTCCCCCCCCTCTGTAGTTTGAGGTTATGCAGAGTTCTGACAAGAAAAATCCTTCGAATGTATTCTTAGGGACTAGTAGAGAAGATCCAGAGAGAGAAAGACAACATTTTGTCATTCTTGAGATATTTGCAGTTTTCATAAACAATCTCCTCAGTGCTGTTCTTACCCTCTTCCTATTTTTTTTCTATTGAAGGAAACGTGTGTGGAAGAGGGAACATAAAACCCTTGTTCATAGCTAGAAATTTCAGAAAGAGGAGTTGGACTGGAGATACTGAGAGTACGTGTTGCATTGCCAACAGTGAGACCCTAAGGTGGAACAGTTGCATCGTCCTCTTTCTACAGACCTGTATAGTTTTTTTCTAGCGGTATTTATGTCTAAGGTGAAAACGCTTTATGATAGGAGAGATGGATATTGAATTGTCCATACTCCAAGCAATAAGTGGGCCTCAAAATTCCCCATTGATGTTGATACTGAAAAATTTTAATTTACAGATCAAACAGTTGAAAGTTGTTCCATGATCTCAATGTCCATCACGGGTATGGTTGATCAACCTACACAAGTACAAGCTGATTTCTGAAATGTAGATGTGTGATTAAATTAAAAATCCAACTACCCACAGATTTTTTTTAAAAAAATCCCTTCTTCTCTTTCCATGGCCAGGTCTATCCAAGCCTTTTCTGACAGACTTGGGAGTAAACAGGCACGGTTCAGCTTTGGTTACTTATAGTCTATCTTCTCTTCATCACGATGGGAGGTAAGTCCCTAATAAAAATAGGGATATATTGCCAATCTATTATTCCCACCCCCACAAACATTTCCTGATGTCAATTATACCCGAAGCTCTCTTGGTTGAAAATTACTGATGGCCACCCAGATCTAAGGGAATAAAGCACGAAGCCTGGGAGTTGAGCGCTCGGCAAGCTCCACCATGTTGCCGAGCTGCCGGTTGGGCTTCAGAGAGCGGTGGCGGAAAGTCTTACGGCACACGGGGCATGGGAAGTCTCGGTTCAAATCCTCCCACCAGCGGGTGATGCACACCCGGCAGAAGTTGTGGCCACAATCGATGATCACAGGGTCTTTCAGGTACTCCAGACAGACAGAACAGCTGGCTTCCACTTGGAGGTTCTCCAGAGGATTTGTGGTGGCCATGGTTCCTGTAACACA